TTTCGATGCCAACATATAATAAGACAGTCCAAAAATTAAGGTCACTTTATTATGAACCATATTTTTACAACAGTTTCTTACAATTTATTGCACGATCTCACCATGTGCCGTACACATGTGTTCCGGACGATTCTTAAAATGTGCAACTCAAAAATGTGGCAGAACCGTGAAAGGACTGGAATTCATCAACAACCAGATTTTTGTTTAATTTGTAATATAAAATAATATGTAAGTGCACAAAAACAATTTAACCTAGAGTTATTTTGAATGGTATTTTAGTTTATTTTCTACATAGTTGTATAGTATAATAAATATTTGACAAAAATAATGATACAAAAACCTTTTTAAATAATATATAAAATAACTACAATGCAGACTTTTTTCTTGACTTTAATTTTAGTAAAGTACCTATTAATATAATATGTATAATTACTATTATTAATATATTATATTATTATTATATTTTACTGTTTATAAATCACTGGTGTATTACGCACAACCAAATACAAAATATAGCTATGTTATGAATTTAAGCAAAAAACATGTTTTCAATAAAAATTATATTTTTATCATAATCATAATAAAGTAATCATGAAATGTTGTAGAACATAGAAAAATGTTTATTTAAATTTAAGTATGCAAGAGTAGCTCAATAATGAATACACTCATTCATACGCGATTACCCCGGATTCCCAAATGCATAAGCACAATAATATGTTATATAAGTATACTTTAACAAGAAATTATCTGAAACTACCCAACCTAGTTATATTCATAAGACGACAAAAAGTGTCTACATCAACACTAATATTACAACGTCGACAGTATATATTAACCGTTCAAATTATTTTATTTTTTTCAAGATAATTCACATTCACATTAAGTATACATCAAAGGTATGCCAATTAGCATTATGATTTCCTCAACGGCATTAATTTAGGAAGTACCAAGTAATGTTTAACTTAAAACGTATAGATATTAAAAATTAATCTACCTATAGAAGATTTTCAAAAACAATTTAATCAGGGAGAATATTTAATCAATGTGTTCACATTAAAAGTACCATTAAATAATACATTAATACAGTGGATATTAAGAAGTACACTACACGAATTTAATTTTTATAACGCACTAATGAATCTATACATACAAAATATAATTATCCAATAATTATAAGATTACAAGTTGATGAATTTTTGTTAATCTTATTATGTATATTACACTAAAATCTGACTTCTATTAACGATGCATAACTTAGTATTTTGTACACATGAAACAAATTATGTTGAAATCTACCCACAATAATTAATATTGTGAAATATATAAATGAATAATGATTAAGGAAAATAAAAAATAAGTATACTAATATCGATTCAAAATAAATGGATGTAATATAATTATTTCAAATAAAAACAATCAATTTATTTCATTTTAAGCAGGTATGTATAATATCTAAATGGTTATCAAAATAATAGTTTGTAATATGATATTACATAAACATATATCGATATAAGATTGTATAGTATTTTATTTTAACAAAGAATAAATTATTATTTTTTTTATTTATTCTTTTCTTATATATTTTAACATTAAATACTATTTTTTATTAGTATACTATGTTTTGTAAAAATATTCAAACAAATCTTTAAAATATATGAAAATTGATACGAACTTTAAGATCGTTAAATTTATACATTTTTGAGTTCTTAGAAGTGTACTAACAAACGATGCCTAATACTATTTTTATCCTAAGTCCTAGTAGTGAAAACATTTATAACAAAACAATTAAGTCGTAAACAACTACGATAACCAATGAATGCAGGAGCATATAGTGGAGCACAATTAATGAGATAACTAGATTAGTATTCCGTTAGTTTAAATTGCTATATTTAAAAGGCAAACATACATTATACTATAATGTTATGTTTAAAAGTCATCAATAATATAAATGTATAAGTTTTGCGTTTGTTCGGTTTATACGTAAACGTTTTCCAGATGGGAAAAAATATTAAGTACTTTCCCTGTTAGAGTCTAGAAATAAATCTTGATCGTTCGTCTTAAATTACACAAAGAGTATTAATATGTATTATATACATAAACGCAGTGGCATATTTAGGTTTTTGTCATGTGGGGGATATGACTTTATAAATGAAAATACTAATGAGAATATTGTACAATATATTATATTTTAATTCTTGCAAATTTAATCAATTATCGATAAAAAAAAAAAAAAAATAATAATAATTTTTATATAATATGATGACTATAATTATTTGTGTGTATACATCCTAGGGGGTTAGGTTTCATCCCCTTGATCCCCCTCCCCGTAAATACGCCACTGCATAAGCGCATAAATATTATTGAAATATATACAGAGAAAATGAAAATAATGAAGTCAAAACTCTAAATTATCAATAAACCAATATAAATTGATTGTCGCATCCGATTATGCAATCTTGTATAGAAATTAAAAAAACATAATATCATATCATTGCACATTTTAATTGTAAAATTGTAAAATATATAATCAGAGATTATAGGTTTTAAAAACAATTTATCAGAAGTTAGATGCCGGCTAATTTCAGTTTAACTTTCAGGTAGATAACCTGATGTTTATGTAGAAGGTAATACTAAGCGTTATCTATTTTAAGAATAAATATAAATATCAAATCAATAGGTAGGTCATGAACTTATTTTCGAACTAATACTACAACTTGCCTACTAACCGATATTAATTAGAAAAAAATTGTTTAATTAAATTGAATTATTTAATAATATTTATTATATGATATACAATTTAAAACTTTTGACGAACATTTTTAATATTGATTACCTACATAAATTACAATGTACAACTGATATTAATAGTTATAATTAATAGGTATAATTAAAATTGAAATACAAAAACATAAAATACTTGGCTTAACAAGTCTTATAAAAAAATATATCATCCTGAGAAGCCAATATATTTTAATAAATTAAAAATAATGAGCCAATTCACTTTATGTATTTATACTTTATACTTCTTTTAATATTGTAAAATTACTCATAATTCATTAGTGCATAGTAGAGTTATTATTAAACGTTGTTTTATTCTTTATCATTAGCCAACTTGGTGGTTTTTTTTTTTTACTATTATTATTATGTCCTATTTTATACTATTCTTAAACCTTTAAGATTTATAAGTTAATTTTATCTTTAAAAAAAAATTTAATTCTTCAAAGAGAGATTTACATATTTTTCTCAAATAGTTTATTAGTGTACACACATTATATCAAAGTAACTAATATTAAATTAAGAATACAAATTGATTGTTAACTTGATTATAAGCTGGTAATTTAAATAAAACAATTATTACTAGTGATACAATGAAACCCCAATATAAAGAAAATATTTAAGGGTAATAAATAATGTGTTTACTATGTAAAATGAACAAAATAAAATATATACAAATACTTTTCTGATGGAATATTTAAATAATATGAATCGTAAAATTTTAATTGTTATTATTTTTTTTTTTTTTTTTTTTTTTCAAATTGAAGAAATATGATGAACACTAAATCATTTAAATTTTAAATAAATTAAGAGAAACCAAACAATAAAATTATTTACTTTTAAGCTGTACATGTAATTTTAAAGGAAGGAAACTAATTTGTTTGTTTGAAATTTTTGTTCATTCAATCTATATTTTGCATAGTTATATTAGTTGAAAATGAAAATAAATAATAATAACAATAACAAGCATTTAAAATTAGGTTGATAATATTGACTACATAGTTTTAATAATACATTAAAATTTTGAAATTTAAAAATTTTGAAATGATTAATTTACCAACAAATTAAGATTTACTTTTCCACTAAGTGTCTTAATTCAAAAATAGTAACAAACATGCAATCATTATAAAATTCAATTTTTAAAAGTACAAAAAAAAACTTAAGATGTTAAGATTTAAGTGAAATATGGTTTGGTAAGAATGTTCACATTTTGCACAACATTTTAATGTAATTGTTGCACAAAATAATATTAAAATAAAACATACAACAATACATAAGGTTACATACATTTTTTAACCTAAAAGTTACAATTAGTATCATTAATTCTCTGATTTCTTATTTATTTAAAATCCATAGTTTTTTTTTTTTTAAATTTCTATACCTACTTATTTTTTTTCTTAAATAAAAACAATACTCTATTAAATGAGAGAATACCATTTCTAGAAATATGAATGAATGATGTCCTACTAATTAGTCTCGAAGGCTGGACACCAAGTAGGGATGCAAAAAACTAATTTCTATCAGCTATGGAGGAGTTATTTTGCTGAACAAAATATATGTAATAAACACTTGTTTTCTTCAAGAAAAAGTACATTACAAGTATCTAATACTCTTACTAAATTTTTAGAATTATCAGACTTAATACCTACCTCATACATTAATATAATAAATCTAAAAGTTAATGAATATAATTGTCATACAATAAAAATGTAGCTTGATAAGAACTCTTGGAAAGTTTTAACAAATTGTAAACAAGATTAGATAATATTTTGAATAAGACTATTTTTATTTTCTATTTGTTACTATCGCAATAACACAATAACTGACATATAATTTATCAAATTTCTTAGATGATTCTTCTTTATTTATAAATAATTCATTATAATCATAGTTAATATTCCAATAAACTATAGTTCTCAAATTACATATGATATACAATTTTAATTTTAATTCAACGAATGAATATATTTCAGTAACAGATTATTAATATAATATTTATAATATTATCTATAAACTATACATAATTTTGTCATAGCATACAGAAAAGTGCAATTTCGTTTTTAAAATTCTTAAGCTATGACTTAAATTTAAATCTATTTTGTAAAGTAATAGATAAGTTATACTATTGTTTTTAGTTATTAGGAATAACTAACATTATATCTAACTTTCATTTTTAAAGCATATTGCAATTTTTGTTAGTAAGCATAATATAAATAATCACTCACCATAGCTGTTTTCCTGGTTATTGTTATGTATGCCTGATGGACCTGGTAATAGACCCGGTAATCCTAAAATAATTAACATATATGATGTATTTAATACTAAAAAAATTATAAGATATTGCATAAAATAAACAAACCTTGTAAGCTACTTATAATTGAAACTCCAGATGAAATTGAAGTAGGAAAAGAATGTCTGGATTGTTGCTCAATCGAGATTGATGTATTGTGTAGGTCATGATTATTACCACTACTTGATAAAAAATCTACAGGTTCTAGTTTTGAATGTCGGGCCTGAGATATTTGAGGTTGAATAACAATATCATTGTTTTGTTGATTTACATCTGAACGTGTATTATCATTAACTGTATGACTGCCATCTGAATCTCCAGAATTACTATCCTCTTCATCAGAAGAATGACCAGTAACTGATGAGTCTACTGTATTTTTATTCTATAAATTCAAACACATTTAAGAATTAGTAAATATACTTATTTTAAACACATGAATACATGGTTGAATAGATACATTTATTACCTGACTTGACTGCGATTGATTCAATTCCAATGCTTGAACGAGCAACGAGGGTGTATCTTTATCTCTATCCACATTATAACTACTACTAGGAGTCAATGGTTGAGTATTCAATTGTTCAGAGTTATTACGTTGTCTTTTATATGGTGGGCTAGGTAAATTATCACTGGCTTTATTTTTTCCAACTACATCAACTGGAACTACGCTTGAACTCCCCCATGAAGACTAATAAATCAAATAAAATTATAAAAATCAACAATTTTCCACAAATAAAATCATCCATAACTAGTTTTATGACTTACTGGTTGGTTTTCTTTAGTAAAATCAACAAGACCTCGTACTTGCAAGCTACGAGCAGTTTTCAAAAATTCTGGTAAATGTTCTTGATTAATACGAACTTCTCCATTGTACATAAAACTTAATAATGCTTCCATTTCTTGTTTTTTAACATCGCGAAGGATTACAATGGGATGTTGGCATGGATTTGCCTGAAAATAATAAACAATAAATAAAGTATGTTAAATTACTTTAAAAATTAAATACACATAAAATTTCAAAGCTATACCTTGAGCAGAGATCTGAAGTAAGGACTACATGCAGAAAGCACAACTTTATGCGCAGTAAATGATTGACCATCACAAGCGATAGTAACATCTATAAAGTCTTCTTGATCGAGTAAATGTCTGAATGATGTTATAATACTCGTGTGGAATTCATTCCAGCGCACGGAATATAATTGGTCTGTATCCATTCCGCCCATTATTGACTTATATTCATCTGAAAATAAATAATCATATTATTAAATTAAATAAACTAGTAATAAGCGATCAAATAATAGGTAAGTATCTAAGAAGCTAAGTTATCTTGAAAATTATAAAATATGTGTAAGTGAAAATCATTAAAAATTAAACATTAATTAAGAAACTGAAAGGACAAAAATGTTACTCATATTTTCTAGTATAAAGCTGTTTACTGAAGTACTAACCACATTAAATTATCCATAAAAAAACTAAAAACATTAAGATAGTAAATTGTGCTAAAAGTAATTAAAATACAATTTCTAAATTATTAAAAACATAATGTGAATTTAAAAGGTTTGTAAAATATTTTTAGTTGTTATCCTAATAGATACATAAAAAAATCTCCCACAATTAACGTATCTAATTATCATCAAACAATTTATATTAATTAAACACATAAAATACATTAACATGTTTAATTGATACATTCCCTACACAAATGGAAATTTAAACTGTATTAGGTAGGTAGTTAAATTGTAAAACAGACTCCTCTTAAATAAAAAAATACGTACTATACACAATAAAATTAATTTTTATTCATACTAGTTAAAAGGAGTTATTTTTTCTTAAAAATTGTTTTAGGCAAAATATGTTTAAGTGGCACAACTCGTGTGCGGAGATTTAGGTAGATAGATATACCAAGAAATCTACCTTCCAAATAGTCTTTAAAATAAGTCTTTTTCCTTATCATCAAATTGCATTTTTTTTCGTACTAAAAAAAGCAAAACAAGTGCGCTATAACATAGGAAACGGAAAATTCGAAAAAGCGCTAGAATACATAAGAGTTACGAGGGGAAGAGACCATGGCATCGCAGTGTAGGTGCTTTATTAATTTATTGCAATAAATATTAATAATATTGCTAATGATAATTATTATAAAAGTCACCATTCGTCGGCTCGTGACAATGTATAATAATATTACAATATTGTCGGATTCGCCGACAACAGTAAATTCTCGAAAATCGAAAAGCAATCGTTGATAAGAAAAACAACCTCCACCGGACGGGGGTGAAAACAAACGTGTACAATATCATTGTTATTATTGTAATACCAATACCTACATAATGTGTGGCTACTATAATACGTCGCTTCTCAGCCGACGGGAAAAAAAGTGAAAACGACAATAAAACGATAATAATAATAATAATAATGATATTACTATTGTAAACAAACGGACCGTCGTCAGTTCGTCGACAACTCTCGTACGACGAAGACGATCGTGACAAAAATCATGAACAAAAAATATTATTTAAAACATCGTAAATAATAATATTATTATTATAATAGATGACGGCCGTGCTAGGGATGAATGTGAAACGAGACTGACCGATTAGCAATTTGGTTTCAATCGTAGTTCGGCGATACCCGACGAAACCGCACGGTCGATATCTACGCGATTGGTCAGCACAAGTTTATGTGATATTTTATATTTATATTACGCGATAAAATAACAACGATGGTCGCCCCGACAGAAGTAGCAGATGATGATGATGATAATAATAATAACTACAAATTAATAATAATATTATTGTTATTGCGACGACCGAGCACTGGGTAGAAATGCTTTACACTCGTCGATGCATACGGCACGGCGGCGCCGCATAACAGTGCGAAAACCGAGTGCACTCGACAAAAAAAAAATAATAATTTAATACGCGACCCGCGTAAAAAAAAATCGTAAAACATTAGGCCGGACATAGAAAAATTTTAAAATCCGATTCGATTAAAAAAAAAAAAAAATATAAATAAGAGTTTTGATGAAAAAAAAATCTTAACATTTTGCGTATATTATTGCATAAAAATTGAAAAAAAATTATAAACATCGAGAGCACGAAAGACGATCAAACAAAAAAAAAAAAACTGGTGTACTTCGTTCAGTTACATGTTACTAAACGCTTCCCTCCGTCGATGCGCGCCTTTCGTCGGGGACCGCACTATACGGTGCCCGAAAACCAGGTGCACTCGAGCAAAAATAATATTTAATACGCGATCGTAAAATCATCATCGTGGCACATGAAAAATTTAAATCCAGTTCGATTAAAAATATAAATAAGAGTTTGATGAAAAATCTTAACATTTGCGTATATTGCATAAATGAAAAATTATAAACATCGAGGCACGAAGACGATCAAACAAAAATATAAATAAATAAATAACAATAATAGTAACCTACCTCGTTTTGCAGCGGTCCCGTCGACAGCGAACTGAGCGAACGGCGTACAACGATATCGGCGGCGCGGCGGTGGTCGTGTGCACCGGCGATACGAAACGACGACCGAAAAACGACGACTACAGCGACAACGGCGGCGGCGGCGGCGAAATGGTGCGCGTGTGTGCTGCGTGCGAGGAAAATATTCGCTCACATGGCGGCCGCGGACAATAAACTGCGCGCGCAGACCTTCCGGCAGACGGCGCCAGCGGCCTGGAATGATGTACAGCCCCCGCCGCCTGCGTCGTCGTTGTTGTTGTCGGCGACGGTTCCTCGGTGGAGGGCGGAGGATA